GAAAGCAAGCAACCTTATTAAAAAATGGTGAAGAAAAAGAATTCCAGACAGAGGAAATGGCTGTGCAAGGAGTAACTGGCTATTGGAAAAACAACAAGGAGGCCAGTATGTAGTGTGACACTGGTGGGCAGCTGGAGGCCATGGTGAAGAGTTTGGATTTGCAATAAGAAGCCAGCCACTGAAGGGTTTAAGTGGACAGTAGCATCATCTGATTATACTCTCCAAAGATCAATCAAAGAGCTGACAAAAAAAGCAAAATACCTTCAGAAAAATAAGCAATAATGAGGATCAGATAAAAGGAAGCTAAATTACATAATGAATAAAGACATGGTAATGTAATCACTCTATGATAATCACAGCCAAAGAGATGAAATAAGAACATATTATTTTCATTAAATACACGATCAAAAGTGATACTTTAATACAATCATTAAATGATGCATATATCCTACCTCTTTATAAAAGATGTTAGAAGTTCTACAAAGTGTAGCTGAAGTAAAGAGCTGAGCAATGGATTCATGAACTACCTTATTCCACACATTTAAACTGTCATTCTGGTTTTGTTTTTGTTTGGGTGAAAGATGAGGGTTCAAAACAAAGGAGGAAGGTCCAAGAAATGAGGCCAGGCAAGAAAGATTCCAAGTAACCTCCACTCTATTCTGCTGCTGCCAAGCTAAAAGATTGCATTTACCAGACTCCTTTGCAACTGGGTAGCCATATATCTAAGTGATGGCCAATAACGTATAAGAAATCTTAAAAGGGTCCTAGCCAGTTTGGCGCAATGGATAGAGCATCAGCCTGTGGACTTAAGCTTCAGGTCCCGGTTCGATGCGGGTCAAGGACACATGCCCGGGTTGCGGGCTCGATCCCCAGTAGGGAGCACGCAGGAGGCAGCTCATCCATGATTCTCTCTCATCATGGATGTTTCTTCCTCTCTGTGTGAAATCAATAAAAATATACTTAAAAAAGAAAGAAATCTTAAAAGAGAAAGGGGCACATCTTCTTCCTCCCTATTCCTCCTTTCTGCTGCCGGGAACTCCATGATGCCCAAGGCTCCAGCAGCCATCCTGAGATGACTGAGGACAGAGGGATGCACTCAGACAGCCAAGACAAAAGACTGGAGGCTGGGTGCCCACTGTGGACTCTAAGCCTGAGGCTACCAACTCAAGGTATATTTCACAACAGAGAGAAACAAACTTTTGTCATTAAAGCAACTGTAACTTGGGGATTTTCTGCTATATTTAACCAAATCTAATTGAAAGGGACATAACTGGAATAATGAGCTAGATATATCATCATACCAAAGAGTTTGGGTTTCTGCTTTAAGTAATGAAAAGCCACTGAAGAATTATGAGCAAATATGCTAAAAAACAAAGTATATAACGATCAGAAAGGTCAATCGACATTAACAAAGTATATAAATATCTCCATTGAGTTTCAAAGGTTGATCAAGAAAAAGAAGCAATTTTATAAATGGTGTTGAGAAACTGAGCCAGTTATGAATTGGCTACTAATTTAATACACTGGAAGGGCAGTCCTGAGGTCAATTACTTAGAGTCCCATAGGTAGCACTATAAGAACAAGACTAAGGACTAAGAATATGATATGAAAAAAAATGGCCAACAGATAAGAAAAAAAAAATAGAAGAAATTTGTAAAAATCAAAACATCTTAAATAAAAAGCTAGGCCAATCACAAGAAATACTTACCAATAAATGCTGATAAAATTAAACTATTATATCTAAATTATCAGGGCATTCATTAATTAATACACCAACACTATTTGTACCTGGCTGCTTAGCTACCGAAGGGGGTTCTATGGTACAGAAGAAAACAGGTTCTGGAATCTCCACCCCAGCCAATAAAAGTCTCTCCGTTTCACTGTTGTGTCTCTGCTTCTTTTCTCCCTCCCTTTCAGCTCGACGAGTTGCAGCTAGTGCGTTGGACTTGGATGAGACAATGGTATCTCCAGTGGCCGTCTGCAAACAAAGAAGATGCCTTGGAATAAAACAGGCTGTAAGCAAGCACTCAGCTTCCACCAAGATTCACGAAATAAGAAAAAATTTAATGTGGCACTTTATTTTCATCAGTACTTAAAAGAGAGACAGATTCCTAAAACTCATTGTAACTTTGCACAGGTAAACCTAATTTAACCTGTGTAAGAATTCTATCCAAAATACTGCTGTAAAAAGTCTAACAATAACACAACACACCCACAATATATATCCAAAATTCATTTGACAAAACAAATGTACCTTCCTAAATTTTCAATCATATGTAGACAAGTGAGGTAGAAGTCCATTACTGTGTTTTACCACCAGTAAAAATTTATTTCTATTTTACAAAATCCTTCAGTTAATTCTTTATTAACTAAAGTATGCAATTAAACAGAGTACCCTTGACCATGCAAAAGTGACAGTAGCTTCCTTGTAGACTTCAGTTCTTTTTTTAAACTATAATTTTACTTTTAAACTTACCTATTAGGGAGTTCTGTGCCAGTTTTTGTCTCTGTAAAGATATTCCCACTGAACACTAGCCCAGATTTCTGTAACTCTCTCAAATACATTTTCTGCAAGGGATGCATAGTAAATCTTTCTGGCTTTATGGGTCACATGTCTCTGTTGCAATTTTCTCAGCTCTGCTGACCCAATACAAAGCATACAGAACATGTGAGAGTGAGTGTTTCAATAAAACTTAGTTTTAACCCATATAGACAGCATATATAGACAGCATCACATATTTTCATCCTATAAAAGTCATGGAGTGCCTAAATTCACTGGTCTAAGAACTAAGAACAGAGAAAAAGACAAAAATCCTTGCCCTCATGGAGACTTCATTGTCAAAATATTCTAAGTTAATACATCACTGGTTATAAGGTTAGATGAAATTGTGTGCAGTGATCAAAATAAGAAAAAAATCCAATAGCAATAACAATGTTTTATATAATCTTAAAAATATATGTATGCATACATGGATAGTATATTATTTTACTTGGATTTGAACTTTATATGAATACAATCCATACCATTAATAGTTTTCTGCAATTTCCTTTCTTTCTATTAAATATATGAGTCAACCATTTAATAACTATGCTACACAATATTCATTATTCCACTACTACTGATGGACATTTAGATTTATGGGGGTTTTGCTATTATAAAATACCTACTTTCAAAAACCTTTATTGCTGAGATTACAGATGACTCCCCCTTTTCCTCCTATAGTCCCCCTCCACCCAATTCCTAGAGAAAGCATTTCATCACTTACATGTTTAAGTCCAACAGTCAAAGCAATGTTACCAGCAGTCAGTGAAGGGATTTCTACATGTTGGTCAGCAAATGGCAAAAGCAGACGACTTATTCTCTCCCTGTAAAACCATGATTTATATTAGTAGAAGTATTTTCA